CGTGCGCGTGTGCCAGGCACATCCAGATTGCCTTCATGCGTCTGCGCCGATGTCCACCCGCAGCGTACAGGCTCCCTCCGCCCTGCACCCTCACCAGCAGTTACTTGTTTATGTACTCACTGGGGTACTGGGGATGGAACTCGGGGCCTCTGCACTGGGCTATGTTCCCAGCCACTCATACTTTTTATTTTGAGGCTCTAAGTTGCCCAAGCCCAGCTTGAACTCGGGAGCCTCCTGTCTCAGCCTCCCAGAGTGCTGGGATGATAGGCTGCGCTGTGACCTTGGGGAGCTGGCAGGGGCGTGCAGGCGCGGACATGCTGGGAGGTGCTTCTGGACGCCTGCCGACTGCCAGTGGTGCTGTCTGCGACGCTGACAACTTTGTAGCAGAACTGACGCCACGTGGCTTCTGCCTCTGGCGTGTTCATCCCACTTCCTGCGTGGCTCTGAATGATGAAAGTGGACCCTGGTCTTCAGCCAGGTCTGAAGAACCGAAGTGGGGGTAGGTGGGACAGAGGAGAGGACCTGGGTCTCCTGCCATCGGGGCATCCTGCTGTCCCGGGATGTACCAAGGGAGGGGCAGCTGCTGTTGTGGCCTGTCACCATGCCTGTGGACAGCCGTCCTGCCGCAGGATGACAGCCTAGGCTTTTCCTCCTCTGCGGCAAAGCTGTACTCCTGAATCAGAAGTGACCGAAGATCTGAGCACCCAGCGCCTGAAAGTGTGGGCTGGTGACAATTGTGCCCGCTGTCAGCTCCAGCCCCTCCTATCGGTGGCAGCCCTATCTGCTCCCTCAGCCCGACCAGCTGAGCAGTGGCAAGGGGGGTGGGTAGGCGTGGCCTCCTGTCCTGCAGCGCCCCGGGAGGCGCAGCCTTGCACCCTCCTGGCTGGGGGATGTCTCTGGGGTCAGGGGAAGACTTGCTACCAGTGCCAGCCCCTTCTACAAAGCCCCATGAGAGCCCCAGGGACTGTGCACTGACGCCCCGTCATTGCTGGGGTCTGGCTTCTGAGCCATCTCAGCTTCTTTCTGGGGAGTTGCTCCAGGAGCCACTGACTAGCATCCTTAACTTTTTTGTGTGTACCGGAAAGTGAACTCAAGACCTTGTGATTGCTAGGCAGGCGCTGAGCCGCTGAGCTATATCCTGGGCTTCCTGACTTTTCTGTGAGGCAGAGGTTTGCTATGTAGCCCAGGCTGGCCTGGAACTCATCCTGATCCTCCTAGGGCCTCAGCCTCCTGAGTGCTGGGATCAGAGGCGTGTGCCACTCGGGCAAGGACAAGGCTGACCAGCCGCGCCCAGAGGGAACAGGTGAATGAGTCAGTGCCATCGTGCTATGGCTCAAAACAGCCTGGGCACAGGACAGGACATCTGTGAGTGAGCAGGTGGCCCGAAGGCTCAGGGAGGCCAATACCTTTAAACCAAGCCTGAGAGTGTGGGGCTGGCCACATCCGGGCAGAGCCTGGGGATGCTGCAGTGCTGGGTGGGTGGGTGGGGGAAGGGCCTGACAGCAAAGGGACTGAGGGGGCTCCTGTCCCCAACCCATGTCCTCTCCTGCAGCTGGCAACCCAGGCCTGAAAACAATGCGGACAATCTCCGGCCAGGCCTGTGGTGGTGGTGTGGACAGCTTCTATTTATAAGCAGAGAGGTTGAACAATGTAGCAACTGCTGCTTGGGGGCCGGAAGCCTCAAAGCCTCCGAGCCATAGAGGAAGGCCAGTGACAGCTGCGGGCGCAGAGCCAGCTGTCCCCATGGGCCTGGGGGCCCCACCTGTGTGCCTCAAGCCCTCTGAGCCCAGTCTAGCTCCTGGTCACAAATGCAAACAAGGCCAGAGGCTGTGGCTGGCCACCGGGCCCCCCTGGGGCAGGGCAGGGCTCAGTACTCCAAGCCCCAGTGTCTGGGGCAGAGGAATTCCTGGGCCACAGGGTAAAGAACCCAGGCCTTGTAGGAAGAGGAGGGCAGCAGCCCATCCCTGGTTCCTTTGGGTGGCTCGGCAAGATCCCTCTCCTGGCCCCACGTGAAAGACGAGGGTTGCATGTGGGCACCAGTACAGCCCCACGCAGCACACCGCAGGCACTGGGAAACTCGGCTGTACTGTAGTCACATGAGGAAGAGGACTGGGACCAGAGGCTCACAGGAGGCGTGATGTTCGCGCCCAGCAGCGGGGACGAGGTCCCGCCAGGAGCCGCGCAGGCTCCAAGCAGACAGGTTCTGGGTAAGAGCGCTTGGGAGCCGGCCTCCTGCTGCCTCAGAAGGCCCGAGGCCCCGCGCCCGCCTGAAGATCTGCAGTGTCAGATCCCAGCATGCTTTCCCAGGCGTGTGAGCACCCAGCCCTTTCCGTGCTGGACACTGACGTCCGCTAGGAAATGCTTTGGAGACGCAGGGAGGCCCAGGGAGACAGCCCCATCCACGTCCGTCCACCCGGTCTCGGGATCTGGGCCTGCTTGGGTTGCTGGAATGCCAAGGCCACAGGCACTGACCAGGGCTCTGTACGGACAGGGAGACGGCCCAGTGAGCTGGAGAATGAAGGAGGACTGGGGGTGCCTGGGCGGGGCCCTCCTGCGCTCACACTCAGCAGTCACAGACTCAGGCCAGGAAGTGGGGGCAGCGGGCTGCGGCATGCAGGACCGGGTGCGGCTGGCGAGGGGCTGCAAAGGAAGGGGGCTTGGCCCACCCGTGCTTTCCAGGCTTCTGTTGCTTGCTTACATTTAAGCTTTCTCATCAGAGACTTCAGGAAGGCCGCTTTAGACACTGCGCCCGGGACAGGGTGTTCAGGGTGGCCCCCAGACCATCAAGACAGGCTTGCGGGTGTCCACCAGGGCCGTTCCTGGCTGGCACTGTGGTCCTGTTGGGCCACTGACCCTGCTGGGGGTGAGACTCGAGGCCAGCACCTCCAGCCATGCAGGCGTCTAGATCTGCTGTCACGACAGAGGGCTGTCCTCAGACAGTGCGGAGCCACACTCAGGGCAGAGCTGGGGGCTCAGGGTAGCTCTGCTGCAGGCCCTCAGGGGCTGCCAGGAAGGAAAGCAGAGGGCAAGCCCCACACGCACAGGGATGGGGGAGTGGTGAGCTCCACCTTGATTAGCAGGTGTCAAGGGGACTCCGGTGTGTCACCTGCCCCTGAGGAAGCAACCTGCAGCCTTTCTTGCTCTGTTGCCACTGTGGGCACGTCTTGGACATGTGACACATGTGGAAGAGCCACACACACCCTGGCTCCTTTTCCTTTGCCTTCACCGCTGCATGAAGTGGGACTAGCGAACCCACTGCTAGGCCAAGGCCACACGCCAGCCCGAGAGGTTGGGCTCCCTGCCCTCAGCCACGGGCCAGCGGGGCCTTGGTGACCTCCTAGGCTGTGACATCCTGGTGGCATGGGCTCAGGAGATGATGGTGCTGAGCCGACCCCGCCACTCAACAGCGGGGCTGAGGCCAGGATGGGAAGCCGGAGGGGCTGCAAACACGGCCCAAAAACCCCCGGGCCGCCGAACCCAAACCCCGAAAACCAACCACAAGGGGCAACCAACCAAGGCAACCAAAAAAAAACCCCCAAAACCCAACCGGGCCGGGGCCGAAGGGGAAGAACCCAAGCCAAAAAACGAAGCCGAACCGGCCTCCAATTAAAAAAAGGGGCCGGGGCCAAAAAAAACTCAGAGGCATACGTGCCTGCCTGGGAAGCACAAGGCCCTGAGTTCGATCCTGGGTACTCTCCCACCACAAAATAGCATGTGTGGAGGAACAAAGGGGGACCCGACCTCCTCAGGGGTGCTGTGTGGTCACCAAGAGGCTCCCTGCACACCCCAGGCCCCAAGGACAGCCAAGTCCAGGGAGACTGGAGAGCTTTGTCTCAAAATAGCCCAAACCCTAGGTTCATGGCAGAGGGGCCTCTGTGAGCAAGGGAGCCAGGCCCCCCTGGATAGGCCACCAGGGACATGCAGGCCACCCTGAGGCCCGCAGCTCTGCGAGCAGCAGGGCCCTTCAATACGCTAGTAGAGTGCAGATAAGCCCCCTGCCATACGCCACGGCAGGGTGTGTGTGATGCCTCCCGGGACCCCAGAGCCAGAGCTCCTGGGTCCCTGGTACCCAGCAGGGTGGGAGGCCAAGACCCTCATGTAGCCGGGGCTGCGGGGGCATCCGGCCCATTCACGCCCTGGTGAAGGAGCTCCTGGGAGGCAGGTCCCCAGGCACGATGGTGACCCCTGCGCTGGCTGTGGTTCGGGAGCTGCGTGGTGGCTCTGGCCTCCACAGCCACCCACAGCACCGCAGGACACACGTCTGCCGCACTTCTCCCACAGCAGGAAACACGCAACGTTCCAAGCCAGCAACCGCCAGGTCACAGCCCCTTCCCAGCTTTCCCTCCCACATGGCCTGGGCCAAAGCTCGACCATATTCCAGGTTGGATGAGAACAGATCCCAACACTTCCTGCCTGTCCACCGGCAACTCCGCCTCTCACAGGCCTAGGAACAGACCAGTGGGCCCGAAAGAACTTGCAGGCTCTTGGGCTATGGGGGTGAAGCTTGTTGCTAACCACCGTCACGGAGTCTGCCACAGCAGGCTCCCGGCCACCCAGGGCTCTCTGCACTGCACTGGTCTCAGATGAAGGCTGGGTGTGGTTCCCAAGGTCACCAACACGGTGACTGGGGGCTGTTTCTCTACACTGCCACCTCCTCCCAGCTGTGGGACACACACAGGGGCCTCAGCAAGGGCAGGCGGTGGGAAGGCTGCTCTCGCCTACGGCCCACAGATGACATGCTGTGACAACACTGACAGGGCCGCCTCTGCCACTGGCCCCTCTGTGGAGGCCCTGCCTCAGGCAGGGTGGCCCTTGGAGGATCCTGACACACAGAACCAGGGAGCCTCTCCAAGGCCTAAACAAACCCGCAGACGCGCCGGGCGGGAACAGACCAACAATTTAATAGCAGGGAAACCAACACTTCAAACCAGACCAGACCGCGTGCGGGCCAGGCATCTCTGGTTTTGGTCTGTTACTTCCTCCCAGGGGCGCGCTTTGGTGACGAGGTCCACTGACACCCACTCCTGCGTCCCCAGGTGAGAGGACCGGTGAGCAGTTGGCCGCCGGAAATGAAGGGAGCACGACACCAGCTCAGCTTCTCCAGCCACCGAAGCCCTGGACAGACCTGTGAGGACGCGCAGGGCTGGGTCAGCTCCCCACCCGACGCAGTGAGGGCTCTGGGGACCCTGGATCCAAGGCTGCAGAGCCTGGGTGGTGGGGTCGCTGGGAGAGGTGAGGCCAAGCCCTGTGCTGGCTTTCAGGGGCTCCCGCTCCTCCCCATGTGGCCTGGCACTTACTGCAGTGTCCCCCAAACCCAATGCCTGCTATGGGGCTTCCAGGACAAGCTCGTGCAACCTGGAAAATGGCAGCACAGAACCCGAGGGCGGCCAGAGCCGCATTTGCCCTCGGCCCACCCAGCCGCTCCGGGCCAGGTCTAGCTCCAGCGCTTCTAATCTTGATCAGACTCAAGGGGGACGGGAGTGGCTACTTACGAGGTGGAGGGTCCAAAGCTGAATGCTGAAAAACACATGGAAAGGTCAAATTAAAGCACATGACTGGAAGATGGTGCCCGACCAGGCTCCTCCCACCCAGAGCTGCGGGAGCTGCCCCTCCACTCTTCAGGGGCTCGGTGCTCCCACCCTGGCTGAGGCAGAGGCTCTGGCCCGGCCTCTCCCAGCCTGCTCTGAAGCCCTGGCAGAAGTGTTTTTTTTTTTGCTTGGAATGCCTTCAAGGCATTACTGGCTGGCTTGTGTTGTGGGGATCGAACCAAAGCAACCTGAGCCTGACTGCTTTGTTGAAGCAGCCACTTAAAGAACTGAGCTACGGGGCAGGCCCCCGCTCTGAAGCCCTGGGAACCCTTCTCTGGGGACACCTGCCCTCTCCTCCCCGCTTCAAAGAAGCCAGTCCTGGGTGTGGGTTCCCAGACCCGGTGCCTCATGCACCGTAACAGGCTACGTTCTACACTCGCTGCGCTTGTGGTGAGGCCCGAGTGGACCAGACTCTGTCCCCAGAAGCAGCAGAGCATGGCAGGTGAGATGCCGGTGGGCTCTGTGCAGCCCCAGTCTACGGTCTTGACTTCAGTTCTTGTAGCTTTCAAGCCCCAAGAAAATACCAAGGCACTTGCCAGTAATTTCTGTGTTTGGTCAGAAATGCTACAATGCTGCAAGTCTAAAATGTAAGGTCATCTTACCCCCAGAGCTTGGGACACCCAGATGACAGTCAAAGGGACGCCCTCCTTCAGGGGTGCTGGTTCGCGCCGTGGAAGGGCAGGCCCACCGTGCGGGTATGACCGCCTACCTCCTGTGCTGGATCCGAAGCCAGAGAACCCGCTGCTCTGGGTCCCAAAACCGGAGTTCTGCTGGGACAGGGACCCGAATGTAGGTGCGTTCTGACTGGCGAGGGTGCCGAACGACGTGGTGCTGCTGCTGCTCCCGAACCTGGGTTCCAGGCGGAAAGGGGCTGTGACTCAGTGGCCTCCAGGACCACGGCTGGGTGGCTTGGGCCTACGAGCCTCTCCACTGTCAGTCTGGGCTGCACGGCGCACATGACTTAAGGGGGCAGGAACAATGGGCCCTGGCTCCAAGCAAACCTTTATCTGGGCTTCGGGAGGGGATGTAATGCAGCGTGAACGCTAACCTGGGCGGCCTGAGCTTCTGCCTGCCCTCGTGGGCGCCAAGCGGCCCAGGCTTCCTGCTAACTCTACCTCTGCAGCCAACGCTTGGTGCAGCCCAGCACTCAGTGTTTCTCATCTGCTGAGTGTCCCCTCTCTGTCTGCCCGCAGCTTCTCCCGGCAGCCTGGTTCTTTCTTCTCATTTTGTCTCTCTGAGAGTCAGGGTCTCACTATGTTGCCCATGCTGGCCTCAAAGTCCTGGGTTCAAGAGCTCCTTCTGCTTCAGCCTCCCAAGTGGCTGGGACTACCAGCGCATGCATCTGATGAGTCTACTTCCTTTCAACAACAAGGCAAGGGGCCTTTATACACAGCACGGCCAGGCTGGCTAGCTGTGTTCTCCCAGTCCTGCTTGCTGCTCAGGATCCATGGGCACAGCCACCCAGGCGGAGGAGGAAGGAAGAGTCCATTTCGCTCGCCCGCCTGCCTAGCACACCCAAGAAAGACTGCAGCCAGCTGAGCCCCGCCCCTCCGGCTCTGGTCAGCACTGCGAGAGCCGTGGCCTCTGAACAAGGGCCTCTGCGCCATCACGGGCACACTGTGGGCCTCGGTGCTGCAGGAAAGGCTGTTTTCCTTTTGGCAGTGGATGGAAACCTTGGTGGCCTGGCTGTACCCCAGGGCCCTGGGATGGAACACGTATACTGTGGCAGTGAAGGGACACGAGGGGCCTGCACAGGCAGCTTGGGGCCCTGGTCCCCCACCCAGGGGCTTACCCGAATCCTCCCGCGCTGGCAGCCGCAGTGCCCTCTCCGAACACTTTGCCTCCCGTCGAGCCCAGAGGGCTTGTAAAGGCTGGGGCTGAACCGAATGCTGGCACCCCTCCAAACCCAGGGGATCCCCCAAAAGTAGGAGGGCTGCCAAACACTGGAGCAGCACCGAAGCCACCTGAGCAAAACAGAGGCAAACAAACAGAAACAGGGAGGGAGAAAAGGAAGAGACATTGAGCAGTAAGAAACCAAAGCAGAAGAGGAAGGAGAGAGGGAAACAGAATGTTAGAGACATCAGAGATCATACCCAGTTCCCACGAAGCCCCAAGGGCAGGAGCCACCCCAGGCCTAGCCGCTCCCTCCCAGCCCCAGGGGCCTGGGGCTCCCCGTATCTTCCAGAAGCCCATGTGGCCAGGCTTTGGGCTTCACAGTACCTGAGTCATAAAACTCAAGGCTGCGAGCCCCTCTGGAGGACTGCAAACTGGGTCACAGGAGGGCTGGCAAGGATGTCTGCAGCCCCGGGGCTGCATGGCCCAGGTGCGCCCAGCTCTGCACAGCCCGGGAGCAGCCCTCACTGCTCAGTGACAGACAGTGACTGATCCTGTAGAGGAGGGCCGCAGCAGAGCCCAGCCACTTGGTGTCAGCCGCCTGAGGCTTGGGGTGGCCCTCTGGGAGGGTGTGCACAGGACAGAGATGGGGACTACGGTGCAAGGAACTCCTGCTAAGACGAGTGCCAGTCGGCTGTGAACTGCGCGCTGAAGGGTGTCACGCTGTCCTAGTGACCCCAAGGAGGCAGGAAACCACCCTCTCCTCTTTCAGAAATGGAAACTGCTGTTAGAGGCGCCCATCTGCCCTCAGAGCGTAAGCCTCACCACAGCACAGGCTTCTCCCCGGAAAGCGCCCCGTGATCCCATCGCCTGTGCACTTAGTGCCAACAGCGCTCGCGCCGGGGGCCCGTGACTGGGTTAAACACTGCCCTCTGACGCCGTGAGTGAAATTCCAAGCCAAGGCAACAGAGCTCGAGGGGTCACAAGTCTAACAGGCTGGAAAGAAAGTGCTAAACCCCTGCAACTGAATTATTCAGTGCTGCGTGCAGCTCCCATTACGCCCTCTTCTTAGAGATGAGCGCTTTATCTAGTGCTCGCTCTCAATATTGTTTGGGCTTCTTCGTGGAAGGGAGTGAAAAATGAGAAGTTGCAACGATACAGAGTAAACTGAGTAAGAGGGAGGAGAGCGCACCTGTGCCACACAGAAAATGCCCCAAACCACACCTCCGCGCAGGCAGCCCCTGCTTTCCGAGGTGGAGTCAGCCACTTGCTCCTAATGCCAGAAGAGTCTGGTTTTATTAGTTGAGTTTTTTTTTTTTTTGGGGGGGGGTCTTTTTGAGACGGTCTCGCTCTGCAGCTCAGGCTGGACGTGAGCTCACTTTGTTGCCCAGCTGGTCTCGAATTCCCAAGGATCCTCCTGCCTCAGCCTCCCGAGTGCTGGGATTTCAGGTGTGCACCACCACACCCAGCTAGCTGATCTATTTTTATTTTTCTTCTGCAGAAGAAACAGACATTTACCAGAAGTACGCAATGGTAACCTTTGTTCTTTTTGAGTCAGGGTCTTGCCAAGTAGTCTTGCGTGACCTTGAGCTTGCTGTGATCCTCTTGCCTCAGCCACCTGAGCTGGGATTACAGGGACTCTTCGGCAGCAGGCCCACCCTGCCTGGGGAATGGGAGCCCCTCCAAGAGTTCCCTCTAACCCCCTCCTCAGGCCGTTGGCTGCTAGGACAGCAGGGAAGGAGCAGGTCTGTGTGACTCACAAGCCACCCCTTGACTCCCTGTCCCTGCTGCCTCTTCCCCTAGCACTGGAAGGAGCAGAGGTGTAGACTGGGACGACGCCCTGCCTGCGTCTTCCCTCGCGTTCACCCAGTCCCCTTCGGCAGTGCTCTCTTGTGAAAGGAGGACTGACACTGCGAGCCTTCTGAGGAGCCCCACAGCATCCTGCTGCTTCCAGCACCCGCGCCGCCTGAGCAGGAGGGGCTCAGCTGTCCCCCCTCAGCTGCGGCTGCAAGGCGCTGCCGCAGGCTCCACAGGCCATACAGGTCTGCAGCAGACACTGCTCCTGCAGCCAAGTGAGGGCTCTTGCTTCGCCGAAGTGCTGGGGACACTTCACCCATCTCAAGTGTCTGAAAGGCAGCTCCTGTCAGAGTCCTCAATCTAGGGATTGCATCACATAGGAAGAAATTTCCTTTTCTTTCTTTCTTTCTTTTTTGCAGAACGGGGATTGAACTCAGGCCCTTGTGCTTGCCAGGCAAGCACTTATTCTACTGAGGTATCAGAAATTTCCTAAAGAGGGAAGATAGACTTTTTCTAAGAGTGAAAAGTTAAAAGTGTCAGATTTCCAAATCAATTGGGACGTGATTCAATATAATAAGGAACTATACCATACAACAGCAGAAGAGGCGAAGAAAACACTGCCAGGCCTGGCTGGCTAATGAGCTACAACTTCTCAGTCAAATGCTCACACTTGGTTTTTTAACTAGGATGAAAAGTCTGTGGCCCTTTCATTTTTAAATCACAGAGTAGGAGTGTGTGTTTGGCCAAAATAAAAGGCTGTGATGCAGCTGCGATGTCCTTTTGTGCTGTGTTGGCAAGCTTAGGGAAAGAGAACCAAGAACTGGCAGCCTTGGACCAGGCTACCTGGTGCACTCGGAAGCCGGACACCGCTGGTGCTGGCGCCTCAGGCGTGCCTCAGCCAGAGCAAGGCCTCAGCAAGCATGTCTCCAAGTGTCCTGCACACTCAGGGCTACCTGGAAGAGCTGCTTTCTCACCAAACAGCACCCTGCGGTGGCAGGTCTTAGCAGTGATGCCGCTTGCAGGGCCAAAGTGCAGGCCTGCAGCTGGGTAGAGAGCTGGCCAGCCACGGGTGGAAAGCCTGCTCTCATGTGGAAACAGACTGTTCAAGATACTCAGTAATCCCAGAACGTGGGATTGCGGAAAAGCATACACCTAATATGTGTGACCCTTAAAAGCCACCATGGGGAGCAGCCACTTTAGCCTACACCTGTCATCCCAGCACTCAGGAAGATGAGGCAGGAGGACTGCTGAGTTTGAGGCCAGCCAGGACAATGTAGTGAGTTCAAGGCCAGCCTTAACTACAGTGAGACCCTGTCTGAAAGCAAGCAAGCAAGCAAGCAAGCAAGCAAGCAAGCAAGCAAGCAAGCAAGCAAGCAAGCAAGCAACCCACCGGCTGACCCAAAACCCACTGGGATAATACAGCTCTGGAAATGTGAGAATTCACTGCGCTGTGTGGTTGTAATACGTGAACAGTGTCCAAGTACGTCCACAAGGACACAGCCGCTGTGTTCCACGTGCCGCCCGCCTTTGGGACGAGCCAGATGACGCGGCTGGACGGAGGCGGTGGGCACTCAGGATGCCCAGCGACCCTGCAGCTCAGGGTGTATTCTCACTGGGTCTTCTAGCTATTACTCGCTAACGCCGGTTTTTCTGAATTCTCTCGCCTCGCGAGGATTTCCTCCCTAGGAAGACTAGGCTCTCCAGGAGTCCATTTCCTGCCCTGTGCCTTCGGCAGCTCTCAGAAGAGCTGGTGAAGTGCTAGTACTGTAGCACCTGCTCGGGAGCTCACGGCACTCCAGAGCGCAGGGGAAGCCCTTGCACAGCGTGCTCCCGGGAACTGGCCGCCCTGGCTACCTCCCCAGAGGGCCACGCAGGAGTGAGCGCTCAGGCGGACAGCTGTAATAGCGTGGGTACCTGCTTTAGTTGGCGCAGAAAACCCGAAGCCTTGTGATGCCACACTTCCTCCTCCAGAGCTGAAAGTGCCAGCAGGCTTCTGCTCTCCAAAGGACGAGCTGGCAAATCCTCCGAAGGTCTTGGCCCCACTGTTTCCAAACAGGTTAGACGTACCTGGAGGGACAAGAGTGCACTTGTCTGGAAAGAGCTCGCTGCAAGAAGGCCCTCCTTGCCTCCCGGCCACAGGGGGTCGGCAGGCCAGGTGCGGAGCTGGCCTGCTATCTGGGAACCCTCTGGTTTGCGTGCGCCTTGGCCTGAGTCCATGCACACTGTGGCACCCGGCTTGGGGCTTCCAGGCATGGGGCCATGGGCACGAAGAGCAGGAGCTGCCCCATGGGAGAAATGCCAGGGGCTCTCAGAGGTCTAGGGTCCCAGGGGCCAGTGACCTAGCTCCTGGAGAAGATGGCCCGCTTTCTCTTGTGTGTGAAGAGCAGCCTCAAGTCTGCTGGACCAGGGAAAGCGAAGTCAGTGCAACCCAGGGGCTCCCACATGCCTGCTGCTCTTGGGCCACACAGAGTGGCAGTGACATAGGCAGAGCCTGGCTCCTGTCTCTGCTCTGATGGGAGCGAGGGCTGTTTAATGCAAGGCTTGGGGTGGCCTAGTGCATGCTTTAGTTAAAAAATCTTCTACACTAAAACGCACATTTATTTATTACATTTTATTTATTTATTTATGTGTGTGTGTGTGGCCAGCTCAGCCCACCAGGGGGCGGGGTTGGCTGGCGTGTGGTGCTGGGGGATTGAACCGCGGTCCCTGTGCTTTGCTTAGCTTGTTCTAAGTAGGTGCTTTAGACCACTGAGCCATCTCACCAGCCCCTAAAACACACATTAAAAAAAAAAAAAAAAAAAAAAACACGCATTTCATGATTCCCCTCTCTTCAAACATTTATTCCACTGTCCCTGCCACTTTCAGAAGTGGTTCTGCAGTCCTCTTTTGTGTGCTTCGATGTGACTAGAAATCCAGGGAACGCAGCTGCCGAGCACCACCAACAGAAGGCAGGCTTGGGACCACACGACCCTGCACCCTTGTCAACAAGGTACCTGCGACACTAGCTCTTCCTAAAGTTGAAATGACTAAGAAAGGCAATGTTTTGGATCAATTCAGGACATTAAGGCAGTCACAATGGTGTAACTAAAGACAAAAGACACTCAGGAAAGGGGGTCCAGACCTGCTGCCCACAGAAGCAAGGCAACGCTGTGTGCGCGTGGACTCTGAGGGAGATTCCGCGCAGCATGTGCTTTTTTTATGTAGTTAAAAAAATCCCCAAAGGCCACCAAATGGTCACCATATTTTTTGATCATGCCACTTACGAGGCCAGCAGGGCCTTCCTTGTGACTTCCTCCTTTTAAGAGGCTCAGCGCAGTCCTTGGCCTTTCAGATATTTCCTCTCAGCTACGCACCGAATCCACTCCAGCAGTCAAGGAATAAAGGAAACCACGAGATCCCTGATGGGCGAGCTCTTGTTTGCTACAGGAAGCGCGAGCCCAGTCGGACAGCAAGCAAATGCCAAAAGGCCAAGCGGCACCCCGTGCGCAGCGTCCCCAGGCCAGGAAGAGCCTGCACTTCCCCAGCATGCCTGGGTGGATTTCTATGCTGCCCTGAAATGCAGAGGGGGCCCGGGAGGGGGCTAGCCATGGGATGGCTGCACGCGTGCCATGGTGGACTGTGCAGCCACGTGTGAGGTACGCACGTCTGCGTGCGACTAATCTCCCTGGCCACTGCACTCCTGCCGAAGCACAGGTGTGTTCACGGTCACTTCAGTGCCATCCTATCTGCTGTCAGTCTCACTCCCTCCAGGGGATGGACGTGGTCACACCAGGGCTGCCACAGCACTGCCATTACCCAGATGAGGAGGGCCTGGCTAAGGAGCCCACACCAGCAGCGACACTGACAGCAGGGGCTGGAGTCCGCCCCCTCCCTCCTTCCTGTCTTACCACCTGACTGCTGGGGGCGGGGATGCGCCCTGAGCAGCCTACTTATCCCTAAACACATGAGCCCAGGGTCACATCTGATTCCCTGCAGGGCTGCACATGTGACAGTGGACACAAAAATGGGGTCCTCAGCCTTTCCTCTAACTTGGGATTTTAAGAACTTGGATAGTCATTTTCCAACTTCATTGTGGATACCAGTGTAAGATTCCAAATAACAAATCCCAGTGCAAGCCTGGGCCCGGCTCTCCTCTAGGGTGACTGATGCAGCCCGTGAAGTGAGGGTGGGGAGCTGTGAACGGGCCAGTACTGCACAGGGGACCTAAATTCCCGAGATGCCACAGAACACGAGGAAATGTCTGGGCTTCTTTCTTTTGTTCTGTCTTTAAGACACCTTCAGTAAGCCACACCAGTCTGTGAGAGACACAGCTGCACACCTGGTGTGACTGCAGCACAGCTGCTGTGAGGAGTCCATCTGTGGAGGACTGGACAGAGGAGCTGGGTCACATCCACACGACAGAACACTGCCCCACCACGGGAGGATGAGGCCTGTTGCGGCGGCATCTGGAGGTCACCATATTAAGTGGGACAAGTCAGGCACAGAACGACCCACACTGCATGAGCTCACTCGTGCGTGCAATCTAAAAGGCTGGTCTGAGGGACGGTGGACACTAGGAGCGGGGAAGAGTAGGGCAGAGGAAAAGCTATGGTGCTAAGTGTGACAGCAGAGACGCGCTGGTGCTCTGGACAGGGAACAGCCATGTGGTACTCAGTTATTTATTCTTTTTCATAACCAGAAGAAAGGATTTTAATTATGTTCAAATTAAGGAGACAGGTTTATTCTGAGTGAACATTATACAATGTATCGAAACATTTACATGCTGGGACAAAATACCTGCCAAGTACAGCCCAAGGAGAAAAGGTGGATTCTGGCTCAGGGCTGCAGAGGGTTCGGCCCTGGCAGGCGAGTCCAGTCAAGCAGAAGGCCGTGGGGATTCACCTCAGGGCGCCAGGAGGCAAGCAAGGCGACAAGGCCGACCGGCCCTGAGGCCAGCTGCCCAGACTGGTGCTTTCATAATCTTGGCATCTCGCAAGCCAGACAGGCTGCCCATCAAGATAGCTTACGAGCTTATGTGTCCATGTACCGGAACAAAACATGGCACCCCCAAAATACAGATAATTTTATGTGATTAGTGAAAGAAAAAACCAGAACGTGCTGCCGCTTAGGATGTCTGGAGCATGCTGTGGTGGAATAAAGCTGAGCTCTACGTCTGACCTGGGCTGGGCCGCCTCACAGCTGCGTGCCCCTGGGAAGGCCTCAGCACAGAACTGCAACACTCGCGCTGAAGGCTGCTGGGCGGCCGCAGACCCCTGCAAGCCCTTTCCAGTGACTCTTCTGGGGCTCTGAGCCAGCAGAGTGGCCTTCACGAGCATGGCCTGAAAAAGCACCTTGGTGGTTAGCATCTCTGCACTGTGAAGGACCAGCCTAGCAGCGAGGCACCACCTGCAGAGCCCACACTTCGGAGGTGACCAGTCCACTGAACTGGCCTCTGCCCTGGGCTCACCCCCGCTGGTGTGACACAGAGGCTCCAGTCTTGTCTGTAAACTGCGCATGCCCACCACTGGGCTGATGTGGTCTCAGACACACAGAGGGAGGTTAAGTGTGATGCTGGCAGCACCGGAGACTGACTTTTCTTTTGGTAGGACCAAGACACCCTGGGCAAGGACAGCTGCGGGGAGCCTGGCTGGCCCGAAGGCGGTCAGCAAGTGGCTTTGAGCCGGGAAGATGGCTCAGTAGAATAAGCGCTTCCCTAGCAAGCGGCTTCCTTGGCCCTGGCACAATGTGTCTTTTAGATCCCCAAAAAGAAAGCATGTGGTAGGCAACAAAGTCCTTCTGGGTGACAAGCCTCAGGGACACTGTGTCAATAGCCCTGGGCTAAGTGTCCATCCGTATCAGCAGCTTCTGGGGATGATGGGGACAGAAACCCTACGCAGCGGGGCCTGCGGGGCCGACTGGCCGACTCCGAGAAGCAGTGCCCGTAGCTCTTCACCTGCAAATGACCCAGCAGTGAGACAATGTCTGTGGTGTCTTAGCCGCTTTCTTCATTGCTGAGACAAAATACCCAACCCCAAAGTTACGGGGAAAGGTTCCTCAGCTCACAGTCGCTAGAGGGTTCAGTCCACAGTTGGCTGGCTCCAAGGCAGGGTGGTGTGGCAGAAGGGCAACAGCTCATGGTGCACAGCAGGCAGCAAAACAAGCAAGGGGCAAGGCAAACCTTTCTCTGTCCCTATACTGCACCCAGGCGACCAGGACTAGACCAGGGAATGATTTAGTGATCACTCACCCTTAATCCAGCGCAGCACCATGAGTCAGTCACACACTCTAGATCCAGCCACCTCTGAAAAAGCCCTGTCTGTGACTGCAGGAGGCTTTGGGGGGACATCTAGACACAAGCCTTAGCAGCAAAGGTCACGGTGCACAGGATCTCTCATGCAGCCTGTGGCATAACTGTCACCGAGGAAACTGCCAGTGTCCTACCTATGCTGGGGTGTCCATCTGCAAGGTGTGTGCTCCGTGACACACAGCTGGGAAGCATCTCTTTATTGCCATGCCCAAGAGGGTCCGGGCTCAGGAAGTGACCCTAGCTTCTGGTGAGGCTACTTAGCAGCCCTGCGACCTCTGCGGCCTACACCCCTCTTGGACTTGGGGACCACCTCTGCTGCAAGGTGATCAGCCATGTTAATAGGCAGCTGGCACACAGTGGGTGACTGGCCAAGGTCAGCTCCCTCTGGCTGGATGCTCTGGGAAGCAACGGAACCATATGCCATGCGGTTTCCAGAGGCAATGCTCCCCCAGGCCCAGCCCAGGCTCAGGCAAAGGGACACCCTTCACCGACCCTGCAGGGGAGACCAAGAGGTGGGTGCAGTGTGAGCCCTGCATGTACACAGGACAAGGGAGTGGACAGCACTTGACAAGCAGCCGAGCAGTAGGAACAGGCCAGGGAGGGGCCTTAGACAGACTTAGCTGTCCAATGGCTAAGATGATGCCAGGAGGGCTGAGCAAGGGCGAGAGCAAAAAAAAAGCAGCTTAAAAAGGTGTAATTTAAGTTGGATTTCTGAACCATCCTGGTCTCCTGACCAAGACTGGGATAGGCAGGGGAGTCCAGACAGGCAGGAGCTACAGGAGTGTGGGACAGACATACTGTACCATGCCAGAACGGGTGGGGAAGAGGAGGAGCCACATGGGAGCCAGGGGGAAGGAGGCGGGAGAGGCGGCGCTCACAGGCTCAGGGGCTGCGGTCCTCCAGGGAGAGCAGCAGTCACCAGGGACCGTGGCAGCACCAGGCACGATGGTGAGGGCCGCACGCGGCCCCCGCTTCCCCAGCCCTCTCCTCCACCATCCCCTCCCCTCACCTGTGCTTGGCTCTCAGCTTAAAGAGATCTGCGCTTTTTCACTATCTAATTTATACTCTTATAGCTGCTCAAAAGGCTGAGGCAGAAGGACTCCAAGTTTGAAGTTAGCCTGGCAACCTAGTGAGAGCCTGTCTCAAGACAGAAAATAGAAAAGGACCAGGGACACAGCTCAGTAGCAGAGCACCTGCTTTTGTGCATATGCAAGGCCTTAGGCTCCATTCCCAGTACTGGAAACAACAAAAACCAGAGGAGCATTTGCTGGAAATCCATGGAGAGGATCAGAAGCTGTAAAGGCTGGCAAGGGCAAGAGGAGCTCTGGCCTGCGGTGTCCTTGGTCTCCACGGCGTAACGACAGGCCACACAGATTCAGGGGGATGTGCAAATCTGAGCCGTGGGAGCCAGCGCAAGCCAGCTTGGAAGAAGGACCTTGACAGAGCAGAGCCAGGCAGCACAGCCACCTGCCTAGGAGGGGAGCTTCACAGGGACACAATGCACTTACGCCCTTAACGGAACTGGCCAGCAGCGAAGTGTGAAGACGACACCCGACATGGGTGGCGGGCCCACTTCTAACGAGTACATTAGCAAGCACTCATGCTGTGCCAGATATGCCAGCTGGCAGTGACGGCAGACCTAGCCACACTCTAGACCTGCCATTTCTGGGTTCTGACACGCAGGACACATCTATGTCCACACTCAGGAGCTGCTGTGCTACAGGACAGCAGAGACTACCTGCTCATAGCTCAGGGGTCTTGAGCCCCGATTCTGCAGGAACCTCCTTTGGTGTTACTCATTAGGATTCTTTTTAAAAAAAAAAGCAAAAAACTCATCAGGATTCTGGGGCCTGGGAGATAGCTCAGTATAAGCACCTGCCTGGCAAACTCAGGGTCTTGAGTTCAATCCCTGGTACCACCAAAAAAAAAAAAAAAAAAAAAAAAAAAAAAAAAAAAAAAAAAAAAAAAAAATTCTGCTTACGAGTTCATCCACAGAATTAGTTTTTGAAAACTATGAGACTTGATTTCTAAGATGCCTTCCTCCCATAGTTCTAAGCCCCTGCTGGCAGGGGGGAGCTGAGGAATCAAGAGTTCTGGTTCTGTAACTACTGCAGGAATTAAGGGGCATGTCCTCCGACACGCAATCTTCCATCTTAATGCGGCGGCAGCGGGGGGCGCCTCAAAACGAATCAAGTAGGAAATCCTACTTTTATCCCGAGGCCTTACTTTCGGGAAACCCTGCCACAACCCGGGGAGCTCAGAGGGCACCTCCACCTCATGCTGCACAACCCAGGGGAGGCACCACAGAGCGCAAGAAAGGGAGAGAGAGTAATGAGGAGGACAGGCGCCCCCCCCAGGTGCAGCTCCACCTGCAGCAAGGACAGCTTTAAGAAGTGCATCTAAGGGCCGCCAGATAGCTCCGCAGATGAAAGCGCCTGCTCAGGCAGACACAGGGATAGGGCTTTGATTCCCCAGTGTGCTGTGCTGCCCCACGGCGTGCTGAGATGGGGATTGAGACTGGGCGTGTTGGCGCACGCATGTAATTCCTGCACTTGGGAGGCTGAAAACAGGAGGATCACTACGAGTCCGATCTGTGTAGTGAGACCCTGTACTAAATACACTAAAAAAAAAAGAAAAAAAAAAAAGCACATTTAAAGGGCTGGGGAACGTAAAGTACATTAAATAGCTCAGTAGCACAGTGCGTGCTTGACAAGTGTTAGGTCCTGAGTTCAATTCCTGGTTCCTCCCACCAAAAAAATACATTTAAAGATTAATATAGATTTCTCTCATTTCCAATCATGAATTGCCAACTCAACAAAGAATCTTAAAACCGAGCTGGACCGCATCTTGCACAGCAATTAACTACTAGGAAGAACGTATGCAATGTGTTAATTATTGAAACTGTCCTACCAATTTGGTTTGAAACTGTCTTATTGCTATTTGTTTCTCAATAAAATTGTGGGGAAAAAAAAACTGAGCTGGAGAAGTGTTAACAGATAACAGCATCAGATGCGAAGAAAACAAAAACGTGAGGAGAGAAACACTGAAGGCCTCAATTCTACACAGCTGGATTTCACAGCCACTTCAGACGTGGCCACTCCCTCCGGCCTATCTGCTCCAATTTGCTTTAAGTCATCTCAAACTAAGCAATAGCAAGCTGGGCCTAGGGAGGCGACAGAGAGCTCAGCAGCTGCAGCTGTCTCCACAACGACACAGGACACCTCACAAAGAAGTCGAAGTAAAAAAGCCAAACCACATCACACCACTGTGGGGCAGATACTGCACATGGACCTTCTGGATCTTGTTCTGTCCTTGTCCATGAAGCTTGGATAGCATCACAGAGATGACCATGACATGAGGGGACCAAGAGACTGGGAAAACTCTTGTCACTTACTTGGGGCGGCTGCAGATCCAAAGCCCCCGCTGGTTGAACCAAATGGGTTTTTGTTGGCTGCATCTTGGCTGGGTTTCCCTCCAAGGCCGCTGAAGAAACCTCCGCCCCTTCCAGCGTTTCCAGACCCAAACAAGCTCCCGCCAGAAGTAGAAGACTGCTGGAAAACAACAGGGCAGGAAGCAAGCTAGGATGCAAGGTCACTGCCGAATGGCGGGCCACACCCGCGGAGGAGGGCTGGTCCACACGCGGAGTGCACCCCAACACCCTGGCAGCTGCGCTCTGGATGGGGGCTGCCTCTGCATCTGTGGTTCCCAAGTGAACACGGTCTGCGGGAGGTGGGAACTTCCAGGGTTTCTGTCCTGCTGCCTGCTGGGCCTGACACAGTGCCAGGGGCAGGAAAACCAGCCCCACACAGGAGCCAGCAAATGAAGCTTGGAAGAATCCACAGCCATCGAGAGGACAACTTATTCTGACTCCTCTAGTGTTGGGGTGTTGGGCTGAATTCATCTGCAACTGATGCTGGGGGATTTACAGTCATTTCTCTCCCTTTGTGCGTTCTTGTTTCATAATGACTTTCCCAGCGCTGCAGAAAGCTTAAATTAGCCCATTGTTGAAATGATGACCATCACTGAATTCTGGCCAACTCTGCAAATCTTATGCTCGAGGATGCCGCTAACTAAGGGCACATGCTGACTCAGTGCCACAGGCAGTGGCCACCTGACTTGGGCTCTTCAGGACGGCCAGCCCAGGGCTGGACTCAAGGCCGCTCTCACACGTAAAGCTGATGTAGAGCTGCGATGTGGAGCTGAGCCTGAGCAGCGGGTCACTGTGCTCCCCGGCAGGAAGCAGAGTGGTGCTGGGAGAATTAAATGAGCCTGGCCTGTGGCTACATGCTCAGGAAGGCGGTGTTCGGGATGGGGACAACAGTGCCGGACCAAACAATCCAACTCGTTCTATGTGCTCGGCACCTTTTTAAATGCTCTACAAGCTGTCACTTAATCCCTTAGCCAGTTACCTCTGAGAGGTTCCCCTCGGTGCCTCCCACCCTCCACCCTGGCCTTCATTTCACTGTGCCCTGTTCCCACGGCAGCTGGGTCACACAGGACCTCCACCGGCCAACGTTAAGGGCTCCCTCTTTCTCTGGTCAAGCACAGACAGCTGTCTTTTTTTTTTTTTTGCGGCACCAGAGATTGAACTCAGACCCCTGTGCTTGCCAGGCAAGCGCACTGAGCCATCTCCCCGGCCCCGACACCTGTCTTTTGTGCTGAGGGTGACACACTCGCTTGGGCGGTTTAGCACTGGACTGAAGGTATGTGATGGCTTTTCTTTTCTGTGTAAACTTCTTTAAAAATAAAATAACTGACTACGCTCACTTAATGATAACTGAGAGCTTTTTAAAACTAGGGATCCAGGGGCCGGGGAGATGGCTCAGTAGAATAAGCGCTTGCCTGGCAAACACAAGGGCCTGAGTTCAATCCCCGGTTCCGCAAAAAAATAAAATAAAAAAATAAAACTAGGGATCCAATCGTAAAAGCAAAAGATGTAATCAGTGGTAAACTGCCTTTGCGACGAGGGAAGCCATGACTGCCAACATGTGCACACAGAGCCACGTCGTCAGCCGACATGAGGCACCTGACACCGGAAGCCAAGAGACCGACACCTGCCCGATGTCAACCAACAGCTTCATGTGGCTCAGTCTACATTTAAAACTGTGATGTGACAAACAATGTTGTGAGGTGACAACACGCTTGCCTGAAGAGAAGTGAATGGACAGTGTCTACAGCCTCTTCAATGGGTCAGAGGATTCCTTTCATTTTACTTGAAATATGCAAGAGTCCTTATAACTTAAAATTACAGAAAACCTCAAAAATATACAGGAAATTCAGCACTCCTGTAGCACTCACTCTGCCGTCCAACTTCTCTCGTGATTTTCTTTTCTACTTCAGATACTAGATTTCAACTTCATAGACAGGGACTTTGCTTTTTCAACTTCTCCTCTGCCCAGATCCTGCGTCAGGTGCTTCTCGTAGTCCATTCCTGTTAGTCCTCAGGAATTTCAGTCCTGGTCTCTAGCTCCGACATCCAACTCACCTGCAGGCTGGTTTCTGCTTATTTGGGAAGCCTGTGGGTCTCCACCGTCTTCTGGCTGTTTCACTCTGCCTGGATGCAGCCCTGGGGAGCACCCTGGCCACCAAACGTGCTGCTGCCGGAGCTCGCGCTTCCCTCCCTGCACCTAAAGCCTGGTGTCCATGGGGTAAGCAAGCACTGGCTGTTCAGACTCACGGCTCCCTGCTGTGGAACAGAGGCACGCAGGGCCACTGAGCTCGCCTGCGTTCGCTTGAAGGTGAGGGTTGTGTCTTCGTGTCTGGGCCTGGAGTGGGCAGCAGCTGGGCTGCCGCGGTCACCCTGGGCTGCACCGCTGAAGGCAGAAGGATGTAGAGCCCAGAAGCTCGCCCTGCTTTTCAGGCTGTCTTTACTGCCCTTTCCTTAGTGTAAGGAAAGAATGGTGGGAGGATATTCATGCCAGGAAAACTACCGTTGAACTTGCAAATCTTTCAGATGCCAAACTGATTTGTTTCGTTTTACTGAGAGAGTCTTGGTATTTAAGTCATGTACTAGCCCAGGCTGGCCTTAAAACCCAGGAGACCTTCTTGCCTCAGCTTCCTGAGTCCTGGGAGGACAGACATACAACACCACACCCAGCAAGCTGATTTTTTCCCCCTATCAGTTACACTGATTGAAAGTATAAAACTCAATGGTTTTTAGTATATCATTATCAATTTTTTTTGCGGAACCGGGGATTGAACTCAGACACTTGCACTTGCCAGGGAAGTGCACATTCCATGAGCCATCTCCCCGCCCTCTCAATTTCTAAAAATTATGGTAAAATGTAAGTAACATAAAATCTGCCACTTTCATCTTTTTTTTTACCTCCGTCTTTTGAGTCAAGGTCTTACTATGTTGTTTAGGCTGGCCTTAAACTCACTTTGTAGCCCTGGCTGGCCTCAAACTGATCCTTCTGCCTCAGCCTCCTGAACTCAAGGAACAAAGGTGTGCACTACCACGCCTGGCTCATTTTAACCATTTTTAAGTGTTCAATCCAGTGGGACTAAGTGCATTCACAGGTCTGTGCACCTGTCCCCATTACCTACTTCTAAAACTTTTCCATCACCCCAACTGAAATTCTGCAACTATCTAGTAACTTCCTTTTCTCCACCTTCAGTCCCTGATAACCGAGAATCTACTTTCCATCCCTGCGAATTTACTTCTTCTGGACAGCCCTGCGCAGCACGGCACTGTTAGTCCTTCTGCGTCCGATTATCTCCACGCTCTGCAGGAACGGCCCACCACTGCACCCTGCGCCTGCTCCTGTGTCCATCTGAAGTGCAGAGTGGGACCAGCACACAGGTCTCTGCCGGGCCCTTTTCAGTTCCTCTGGAGCCACACCCAGAAGTGGTGGCTGGGCCACGGGCAGGAGCGCTGCATTCAGGGCCTTGAGCAAGCGCCAGGCCGCGCCCCTGTTGGCTGCTCGTTCTCTTCTCCCCCGTGCAATGGAGGGCTTCTTACTTCCTGCGCCCTACCAACAGCTGCTTTTGCTGTCTAGGCGTATCTCAGCGGTTGGATTTTCATTTCTTTAATGTTTAATGCCTTGAGCCTGTTCTTGGTGGCGGCGTTCTACACACCCAGCCCTTCATCATGTTCGGATGGGGTCCTGCTGAGTCAGTTGCCCAGGCTGGGCTGGAACTTGAGATCTTCCTGTCTCGACCTCCCAGAGTGCCAGGACTACAGTCCTGGACCATCGCACCTGGCTCCTGGTCATTTTTTCTTGTGCTTTCTAGTCGTTTCTCCTGCTTGCTTCACCGCTGCCAATAGCTTCCTGCCCAGCCAGAACATCTCGGTCTTTGGCGGGGTCTCTTCTACCTGGCCAAACCCAGAACTGCACTTGTTCCTGAGGCTGCTTCACCATGGTGCTCCCCACCACAGCTCCATTCTCTGCACTGGCTCAGGAAGGCGTCCGATGCTGCACAGTACTCCCAGGGACAGACTGTAGGTGGCGCAGTAAAGCTCATCCCATGTGGGGCGTCTGCCCTTCCTCCCCATGAGCCTGAAGGGGACGGCCCCAAAGGTCACACACCTTGGGCTCAGCTCCCTTCTCCTTGTAAAGTTCCTCTCTGAAATGCAGCCACTGGGCTGGTGAGATAGCTCAGTGGTCTAAAGCACCTGCTTAGGCAAACTCAGGCAGGCACGGGGGGGGGGGGGGG